TTGCAGGCTTGATCCCCAGAAGGGGACATGCAGGAGGCAACCCCCTTCTGACATGGATGTTTCTCTCTCCCTCTCCCTTCCTCTCTCTCTAAAAATCAATAAAAAACTTTAAAAGAAAAAAAAAGTACAGGCAAAAAAAGTATACAAGAGTGATTTCCAACCTGGAGTCATGCTTAGGGTATGGCATGGTATCTGAAAACATACACGTATAGGAAACATTGTCTACAGTCATGATTACTATGATATACTTCTTTTTTTCTGTATCTAGATATCATTGTAGTTTATAACAGAAAATTCATTTAAATACATTATTATAACCAGAGTGGTATTTTGACATTATGCATTTTCTCAATCAACATAGGACAGTGATGGCGAACCTATGACACACGTGTCAGAGGGGACACACGAACTCTTTTTTTTGGTTGATTTTTCTTTGTTAAATTGCATTTAAATATATAAAATAAATATCAAAAATATAAATCTTTGTTTTACTATGGTTGCAAATATCAAAAAATTTCTATATGTAACACAGCACCAGAGTTAAGTTAGGGTTTTTCAAAATGCTGACACGCTGAGCTCAAAAGGTTTGCCATCACTGACATAGGACCGTTATGATGCTTAAGTGCATGAGATTTTAGAGCTTAAAAGGAAAACATATTCCAAAGCAGTAAGTCACCAGAACGGTAAAGCAAGCCCTGCCCTACAAGTCAGGGGAAGTAGCTCCAGCTAAACCACCCTTCATCAGGTCCTTGGCCTTACATGGACTCTTTAAAAAGATAGCATGTGACTTACCCAATGAGATTGTTTTATTCTAAAAACTAGTGGCCCAGTGCACGAAATTCGTGCACATTAAAAGGGAAGATACCCAGACCCAGCCGGCCCCACCCCCATTGGGCGAGACCCAGACCCGGCTGGCCCCACCCCCGTCACATCCCCGGCTGGCGCCGGGCAGGAACGCATCACATCCCCACCCACCCATGTGCGCCTCGCCACACACGCAGCCCTGCCCACCCGCACCTGCCACGCACGCAGCCTCCTGCTGATTGGTCGTTACTGCATGAGGGCGTCATGAACATTAGCATATTAGCTCTTTATTATATAGGATGTTTTCTTCTCAAATGTTTGTAACAAATAATTCAGAAGCCCATTTAATGTCACAACTTCAGTTACCAAAACCAAAAAGTATACTAATACACTTGGTGATTTTTTTCAAAATTATTTACTTTGTATGTATATTCACTTAACATAATTTCATGTAACAATTATTTTTACAGACAGAGAACAGAAGCTATCACTCCAACCAGAGTCTGACTTGCAGACAGTTCCAGCACCAGAGGCACCGTGGGCATAACACCATGCACAGCTCTTACAACATGCATTCTCCACACTTCATGCTGGCTTCACAGTATCACAGCAAACAGTTCCTCAACATACATATTTGTATATTCGTGTGTACTGGTATGTGTATACATCTGTATAATGAAATACAAGAAGAATAAAGAATATGATAAAAATTGTTATTTTTATTAGAGGAATAATGGAGTAGAGGGAGTGGGATGACAGGGGGATTTCTCTCTTTATATACTTTTTCATACATTCTGTACAAATCTCACACATTTTGACCTATTATATTTTTTAAACTAAAATTTAATTTTAAAAATGTAAGTGAAATATGGTTATTGATTCTAAATAATAGATTTAAATGGGAAGTCAGAAATCACTCTGTCCAACCTCCAATGCATATAGGGATCAGTTTAATAGGGCTTAATTATGTTTTTCTAATATCTTAGAAAAACGATACAGAAAAAATGAACCAAAGTCAAGAACCAGAGACACTATCAGTGACTAGGAGGGTGGTCTGAGACAATTCAGAGACACTGCTAAACACACCCAAAAGACTGTATTCTTCAACAATAACTAATAAATGAAGCCTAATTAAAATTAATATTTTAAATTAACAGAAACTATAAGTTTAAATTTATCAGGACTTACACTTAATCTGTACATATTAATAAAGACAGACCTACTAAACTGTTTCAAATATATGTAAGCAAAGAAAATCTTTCAAAGAAATTTGAAAGAATGGTTCTATTATACACATTGAATTAATAAATGATTTGCCCCAATTTTCCTATAATTCAAACACTGATTTTTTTTACAAAATACAGTAACAGTTCTTATGAGTTAAAATATAGATATCTTAATCATGACAAAGTTTAAAAGCATATACAGCAAAGAAAGTGTATCTGGTTAATACTTGAAAAACGTATTCAAAGCTAACTTGTTAATCTAGTAAAAGGATGTGGTATATTACTTATGTCCCCAAAAAGGCAACCCATAAAAGACATCTGTAAAATGTATTAAAGCATTAAAGCCTATTTCAAAGAATATACATAACATAGCAATGCAAAACATATGGGCAGCAAATAAATAGGTAAGATTAAAAGAATTCTACCAATAACTATAGTGTTTTAATCACAAAACCTATTACTAACAAAAAGACAGTGTGGCAGGATAGTAAGAAGCTAGGAAGTGAAATGGGGAAAGTGGAATAGGAAAACTGAGACAAGACAATTAAACAAGGCCGAACAGTGTGGGCAGCTTGCAGCCAGCCTGTGAATCCCAAGACCTCATCCTCCCCCACCAAGGACACTTGAGAGCAAATGGTTTACACCCTCCCTCACTAGAGAACACATAGCGTAAGCCCCCCTGGCCTGGGAAAACAGAGAACAAACAGCCAATTAATGCCACTTGTTCCAGCTAAACCCAAGGACAGGTGAAGTCTGGGGGACAAATAACAAAAACCCCAAAAGCATCTGGATGGTATCACTTGAGAGAGCAATGTTAGGCAGGATAAACAGCTGCTAGGGCAGGAGGAGGGAAGAGGGAAGGGGAGTTTATCTCACCCACTGAACAAAGTCAGCAGTCTTGGGACTTGACGAGATAAAATTGCCAGATGATCTAATAAATTCCGTGAAAAGTCACAGCAACGTAAAAGGGGGACCTTGAAATCTAGTCTGACAGGTGAACCTTGAAACCTATAGGGGGAAGTATAAAACTCTTGAACCCACACCAGGCGGGATGCTCAGACTAGATCAGCTGCCCATTTGTGCTTTATGCCAAGTGTATTCTTAATAAATTTGCTTGCTTTGTTTCTTAAATTCACTTGCTTTGCTTCAACACTGCTTTCTATCACTTGTCTGAATTCTTTCCCACGAGCCGAGGAGGGGAGAACCTCCTCTGACTTGGGCAGCTCTCGGGTAACAACAGTAATGTTACTATGGTCATTAACACTATTTCTGAAGTGTTGTTCTACCTTCACAGTATCATGTCACTCCTCGTGGATTCACATAATAGGGCCTTCTTTAAAGGCCCCCAAACTGACCAAAGTCCTCCCAATAAGGCCCTCAGCAGCCCTCATAGGACCTGAGAACAGTGACCTCACAGCCATCTGTCATGGCACTTGACTCAGTCCCCTGGAGGAATATTCACTAGTCCTAAAGTCACAGATACAAGAATGCTATTGTCTTGGTATACATTTTCCATATTCTTTAAGGAATAAAATAGAAATACATGTAAAGCCCTTATAAAAACTATGAAGAGCCATCAGTAACTTACTATTGACTATCCGTAGGTACACTGTGGCAATGAAGCCTCGAACAACCTACCAGGCAGATGGTGTTACTTGTGTTTGACAGATGTAAAAGCAGAAATCTGCACTGCAGAACCTCACCGCCCAGGCAGCTGAGGAGTATAACTTCACTGTCTTTGATTGCCAAAGGAGTTAAAACTAACCCTTGTAGGTATGCTACATTACATCAACAGCCAAAATATAACCCGTTTACATGGAATAGTCTTACATACCGTAAAATTCTGCAATATTTTCATGTGGAAGCCACAGAGTTTGAAGCTCGGAAAACTAAGGACCCTTAAGAAACTGAAGAATATCAGTTTCACAACTAAGACACCTCTAAAAAAATTCTATCTAGAAGTATTTCCCCATCTTTTCAGCATCATTCTTGGTATACACTAAATGTTCAATACTCGATTAATGAATAAAATAGTGTATGTTGTCATTCTTTCAAAAGTTTGGTTACCTCAAAGGGATTATCCCATTTATATTTTCACTGGGGAAAAAAAACTTATTCTTCAGTCAACTTCTCCCTTCATTTACTTATTAGTAAATTACAATGATACTGCATGTTATCAGCATTTTTTATCTTAATCATGTAAATTGTTTACTAGTTGAAACAGATTCACTCAATTTCATGGCTTAGAAATACTCACAAGTATGGAAAATAAAATAAAAACATCATCTTTTGGTAAGCAGTATAAATGAGAAAACAACATTTATCTTTCACTGCTGTAGCTACCAATTTTAAAATACATCCTGTGAACATAGGTAGGCACTACTACAAACACCAACCTTCAAAGCAAATGTCTATACTTAACATATTGTAGTGGGGCAGCTATTGCTAGTCAAGTATTTTCTGAGCCACTGATAAATACAGCACACTGTTGTGGGTAAAAAATACAATTTTTCCTTCCCAGCTGATCTTTCAGAAATATTATTCATGTACTACACACAAATGACTCAAATTATTGTTTCAACTTCCAAACAAGCTACATGTTACAAAAGTGTCTAATACTGACAAAGCATCTTTTTTCTTGTAAACCAGTAAAAAAAAAAAAAGACAAAGAGGAATTATGGGTAATGGAATTCAAACCACAGAACACATTATAATAGGCTATTAGTGAGGAAAAATTAGACTGCAATTTAATTCATAATAAAATTTATTTACATACCAGCACAGAATATCCCTGGGACTTCACTCCTCACTATTACAGTCCGTACTTTCTTATCAGATTTTAAAGCATCCACAGCTTTTGAGAGCTAAATATAAACAGGGAGATAAGAAGAAAAAGGGAGAACATTTTTCAGGTTGATGTCAACACTATAGCTTAATTTTAGAAGCAAAGAGTTTAATCTTTACACTCACCATTTTAACGAGATTTTTACTGAATGAATTTTTGGCATGAGCTCTGTTTATTCCAAGCACCACAATTCCTAGTTATGAAAAAAGCACAAGCACTTGAGTTAGTGAGTGTTCAGGGTACAGACTCCCACACACAGCTAGTTAACTGGACACTTAAGAAATCTACCACCTCCTCGAAGTGCCCTCCAAGAGCTTAGTTTTGTGTTTACCTTCTGTTTCAAGCATATATTTAAAAGAATGTGGTACTGTAACATATTTATAAAATCAATCTTCTGCTTCATATTCACTGCTTTTCTTCCGACTGATACAGAAGAGCTTTAGAACATCATGTCCCTACAATTTATCTCTTTAAGCACCACCAAGGTAGTCAGCATATTTAAGTACACTTTATACCACCAAGTTAGACTAACTAGAAGGAAGGCCACGCGTACTAGTGAAAATTCTCAATTACAGCATACTATTTAAAATGCAGTTGTATCACCTTCACCTACCTACAGAACTAATGGCTAACAAATCCTTGTCACAGGCAAGGACAGCAGGATCAGCTTTTTGCTAGTGGTATACATACCAGGTATTAGCACCTCAATTACACTTTTTGTCATACTAACTAGTTTTCATTATCTCCATCCCAAATTTCTCTCCCTCTATTGCATATACTTAAACTGAAGGCACTTCCACTTGGAAATCTAACAAGCAACTCAACCTCAATCTATAGAAACAAAGTTCATTCTATCTCCCACAAAGCCCAGCTCTCCCTCCTAACTTCCCTAGTTTTATCAGAGACCATCGCCTAAATCCAGGCTCCCATTCTAATTGCTGCAGTCAGATCAATATTTCAAAAATAATTCTAAGCATATAATTTAACCCCTGCTTAAATACCTTTAATTTTATCTTATTTCCAAAATGTCTGAGTTCAAAGACCTTAATTTGATATTCAAAGTTGTATATACCTGTACTCAACCCTGTCCCAAGTAAGCACAAATTTTCCTTGTATAACAGAAATGCCTTTCATCTAGTTGGGAATGGAGGTGGGTGTTAGGTCTGATCAAATAATTGATCAATACCCTATCCCCTGGGAACCGACCTTCTGACCACTTCACAAAAGACAATCCCCTTCACTTGACCACATTCCACTTACTAAAACCATTATCCTTCTCCTGTGGACATTCCCAGGATCCGGAACTGCCCAGAGAATTCTCTGCCCAGAAAACGCCCGCCTAGGAGTCCTTTAAAATCTCTGACTCCCCGTCCCTGGGTGCTGACGCCATTTTGGGGGTCAACCCATCTGCTATCCAGATGACCTCATAAATTCATAATCCCTCAATACTTAGGCCTCGTGCCTTCCTCCTTCGTCGACCCTAACATTTGATGCCGAAAGCCGGGAGGGTTCCACAGGGAAGGGGAGCCATCACCCTGGCTTCGCTCACCCCGAGTTTGCTACTCAGAGAGCAGTAGGCAGTGGCAGCTCATCTTGGACTTGCCTCCGAATCCTACTTGGTGATTTGATCACCAGCCTCGATCAGGCCTCCCTCCCTTAAGGGCCCTCCTGAACCAGCCAAGGAGGACACCGGATCGGGAACCTCTCCTTCTCCATCGCTGACCCTCCATCCCACACCGGCCAGTCTTCTCTAGGTGAGTGACGTTCCACAATTTTGTCTGGAGTCTTCTGTCCACTCTCTCTCACTGACTTCTCGAAGGTCTCTCTTCTCAAAAGCCCTAGCGCTAGGCCAGAAGGCTCCTGATGCCCAGTCCGGAGGGTCACCCCTCGTTTCTCGTGGTGATTTGTTTAGCAGCGGGGACGCCTGCCCTAAGCAGTCACCTTTGGATTTGTGATCCGTCACTCACCCCTCCTCTCTCGTGGGCCACGCTACACTCCCTCTGCACTCACAGGGCAGAGCAGGCCCAAGGCCCTCATTTTCTTTTCTAACACTGTTTGGCCACAATGTGAGCTAAGTAATAAGTCTCAATGGCCTGAAAACTGCACTTTCCATCTTAACACATTGCGCGATTTAGATAATTGCTGTCACCGCGATGGAAAATGGTCAGAGAGTCCCTCCGTCCAGGCCTTTTCACCCTCAGTCCCAGCCCTCTCTCTCAGTCCTGCTCTACCCGTCAGATCCTTCTCCTTCACACGAAACATCACCCCTAACACTTCTGATTCTGAAACTACTTTTGACCCAGCAGACCACAGACCGCTACCCCCTTGTGCACCTCCTCCCTCACCTACAGTAGATTCCCAAAACCTAGACCCTCCTAATCAGCAACCACCTTCTCCCCGACCCCTGAGAGCCCAAATCCTGACAACTCGAGCTCCAGTACAGACTTTTCCCACCTAACACTCGCTCTCGGGCCACCCAAAGACCACCTTCCTCAACAGCCACTTCTATTCCTGTGCCCCATCTACCCCTGAGGGAGGCAGCAGGAACTGAGGGTACTGTCTGGGTACACGTCCGATTCTCTATGTGGGACCTCGCACAGATTGAGAGGCGTCTCGGGTCTTTTTGTACCGACCCCACTACCTTTACCAAAGAATTTGAGTACCTGGCCCAGTCCTATGACCTGACCTGGCATGACGTCTATGTCATCCTGTCCTCCTCTCTCACCCCAGGACCATGCTGTGCCCTCCATAGACAGGACTCGGTGGCCAACCCAGTTGGCGCTGATGTGGTCCCCCAACTGACCTGAGATGGGACTAAAGGTTACTTCTCCAGGGCACCAGCTCCAAAGCCATATAATCACCTGTCTCATTGCCAGACTCAAAAAGCTGTCCATAAGGCGGTCAGCTATGACACAATAAAATCACTCAGGCCTGACGGAAACCCAGCTCTCCTCCTCCCCCACCTCAAGGAGGCCTTACGGAAATTTACCACCGTAGACCCCACCTCCGCAGAGGGAACCCTTCTTCTGAACACCCACTTTATAGCCCCATCTGCCCCCGACATATGCCATAAACTTCAAAAAACAGACACGATAAACAAACATCTCAAAAAGACTTTATTAATCTGGCCTGTAAGGTCTTTAATAATGGAGACCAGGAGACCCAAATCCAAAAACAAGGCGAGATCAGGCCAAGGCGAGGCTCAGGAGGCCTTCCAGCTCCTACCTACTGCTCCCACAAACCCCAAACGAAGCGCTGGTCCTCCAACAAGGGTAGGACAGGGGTTAAGCCTCCTCCAGGCCCTGCTTCAAACGCAGCAAGGAAGGACACTGGGTCTAGTCCTACTCAAACCCGAGACCCCCGCCTGGGCCCTGCCCAAGGTGCAGAAGGAAAAGCCACTGGAACTCAGGCTATAGTCTGGCCCCTCCAGGTCAGACCTCAGCCAGCCCAGCAAGGCCACCCTATGGATCCGGTTTGGAGCTCCCAGACCTCCTGGGATTGGCCACCAAAGACTGAAGCTGCCCAGGCCCTGACAGGGCCGCACAGACTTCCATCACCAGGGCAGAGCCTCGGGTAACGGCTATGGTGGCACATAGCCGATCTCCTTTTTAATTGACACCTGGTGCCACTTGTTCTGCCCCCCGCGAATTCACAGGGACCCTCGTCCCCTCCTCAGTCTCTGTTATGGGGGTTGACGGACTAGTCTCACAGCCATTAGCCACCTCACCTCTGCACTGCATCTTACTAGACACCCCTTATCCACCCTTTTCTCATTCTACCTCGGTGCCCGGCCAGGGCTGCAGTGCGTCCCCTCATAAAGCCCAGCTGTCCCAAACCACAGTCACCTGCCTCGGTTTCACTCTCACCCCACAAGGCCCAGCCATTCCTTGGACTGTGAACACCTTATCTCCTTATCTCCTCCATTACTGTCCCCTCCTCTGAATAAGAAATAGTCTCCTTTCTTGGGCTCGCTGGATACTTTCACCCCTGGGTGCCCAACTTTAGTCTCCTCCCATTGAGCAAAGGGACCACTCACTGAGCCTTTAGATCCCAAGGCCGCATTCTCACCCCCTTTTATTGCTTTAAAAACTGCTCTCACCTCAGTGCCTTCTCACCACCCTTAACAGTCCTGCTGCTATCAGAAGCTGAACTCATTATCACCCAAACCTTAGCATGTTATTTCTAAGGAAAAGTGTGGCAGTTTTGAATCCAAGTGGCTGGAGGCCTGGGAACAGGCTGTAGGGCCTGCTCCTTCCATTAAGGAAAATGTGGCAGTTTTAAATCCAAGTGGCTGGAGGCCTGGGAACTGCAGTCCTAGAACAGGCTGCAGGGCCTGCTCCTTCCTCCCCCAGCCTTTTCTCCAGCCCCATGTGCCTGTACATAATTATCCACAGTCTTCAGTAACTTAAAGGCTTTGGAGCATTGCTGGGTTAAATGATAAACATCTAAATATTTTTAAGTAACATAAAATACTGAAACATTGATTGTTAGACAAGTTTTAAATTCGCCTGCTCTTCACTTTTAGTACAGAAGGCCTCTTGTACTTTTGTTGAAGTATATTTTCTGGAAAGTAAGAGTGTGTTTAAAATGTGTTCATAAACGTCAATCTAAGAAATGCTGGTTGTTTACTTTTTCACTAAAGCTGGTTATTTGTGAATGGGTAGGAGGATTTGTGAAAGTTGTAGAAAAGTCTTTCCAGTGAGTCAGGACCTGATCCCCCTGATGTCTGAAGGGACCCCTTCTCTCCGAGTGAGCTAAAGCAGCCGCCCAGGCTCTCCTGTGGCTTAGGTCTTTAGGTTGGAGCCTAGACTTTCTTTATTTCCACTGTTCTTTTCACTAAAGCTGGTTATTTGTGAATGGGTAGGAGGATTTGTGAAAGTTGTAGAAAAGTCTTTCCAGTGAGTCAGGACCTGATCCCCCTGATGTCTGAAGGGACCCCTTCTCTCCGAGTGAGCTAAAGCAGCCGCCCAGGCTCTCCTGTGGCTTAGGTCTTTAGGTTGGAGCCTAGACTTTCTTTATTTCCACTGTTCATTCACAGTCCGTGACACTATCATTGCAAGCCTCACAGGTCTTCCTGCTTGGCATTTAGGACCCTCTCTCCCCTTTTCTAGCCTTCTTAAAGGTCATACACTGTGAAAGACACTGAGTCAGGAATGATCCCGTAACACAGGGAGATAACAAAGCAGACCAGGAGGCCCAAGGCAACGGCTCAGAGGAAGCCCCTGTCTCCCCAACTCTTAGCTCTGCCCCATGTAACACCCTCATACACTCCAGGGGAACTTAGTCCCTATTAGCTCTTGGGGCCACTCAGGAAGATCCATGGTTAAAATTTCAGGGCAAGTATATCCTTACCTAGAGACAGGCCCGTGATATCTTTCGGGCTACTCACAATTCCCTATATATAGGATACAGACTGCTTCTACAAATCCTAACCCCCCCCCCCCCCATGCCCTACTGCAAGATATCCCCAAAACCTGTTCTACTTGTTACTCAGTATCTCCCCCAGGACAGGGTAGACCTCCTCCTTTCCCCACTCATCAGGCAAGGGCCAAACCCCTGGACAAGACTGGCAGATTGACTGCATTCACTTGTTCCCCCATTGAAAGAACCAAGTATCTCTTAACCCTTGTAGACACCTCCTCAGGCTGGGCAGAAGCATTGCCCACTGCGTCTGAAAGTCCTCCGAGGTCACACAGCTCCCATTCAGCTTGTCATCCCCAGATTCAGCCTCCCCACCTCACTGCAATCAGATGATGGACCTGCTTTCACATCTCAAATGACTCAACAGGTCTCCTCCACTCTGAACATCCAGTGGAACTTACATGCCCCTACCGGCCCCAATCTTCAGGCAAGGTAGAAAAGACAAATTCCTTAATTCAGTCTCACCTAACTAAATTAACTCACAAAACTAAAGAACCTTAAATTACTCTCCTACCTCTAGCCCTTAAGCACATCAAGGCAACCCCCTTCCTTAGTCCCTTTGAACTCATGTATGGAAGACCCTCTTTTTAGGAAACTTCCCTTCCACAGGGACCCCTCTAGGGGCTATGTCCCCATTTTATTTTATTTTTAAAAAATATATTTGTATTGATTTCAGAGAGTAAGGAAAAGGGAAAGAGAGAAACATCAATGATGAGAGAGAATCATTGATTGGCTGCCTCCTGCACACCCCCCACTGGGGATCGCAACCTGGGCATGTGCCCTTGACCGGAATCAAACCCGGGACCCTTCAGTCCACAGGGGGAAGCTCTATCCACTGAGCCAAACTGGCTAGGGCACTATGTCTCTATTTTAAATCTTGTGAGACAATTACTGAGAGAACATGCTGATCAGGTCCTCCCTTGACCTTTTACAGGAGACATCCCCCTACTCTCCTACAGCCAGGGACTGGGTCCTCCTAAAGGAAATCCACTTGTCAAATAACTTACAGCCCTGATGGCAAGGCCCTTATCAGGTACTCCTAACCACCCAACTGCAGCTAAACTATCGGGGCATACCCCTTGGTTCCACCTTTCCAGATTATAACCCTTTCCTGGGACACCACCATCCCATGGGACGAGATTTCCTTCTTTCTAGATCCCAAACATAGGCTTTCCCCCGCTTTGGGTAATCCCAGCCCTGGAAGTGTGGATTAGTTCTCCTTCTCATCCTATTACAACACTCCTCTCCTACACCCATAAGGAACTTTCTCACCTTCACTCATCTCAAATGAACACTTAACTTTACCCACTGCCTCCTAAACCAGACCAATCCAACCTTAGCCAGGAACTGCTGGCTCTGCCTTTCCCTCTCCTCTTCAGCGTATGCCACCATTCCTATCCCAATCAAGAGACGGAATCAGGCAAAAATCACTCTAGCTTATAAAAAGGAAAAGGGAACTGTATTTCTTGAAAAGCCAGACACCCTTCTAGGTAATTATCCTGCAGCCCAGGCATCAAGTCTCCTTTCATTTCCATTCTTATATTCAGTCTCTTGCTAAGGTAGCTCCTTCCTCCATCCCGGTCACAGGTCCTATCACTCTAAACACCCTACTAATCGCCCAAACCCCTTTATGCTTTACAAGGTCACAGGGCAATATAGCAATAGGCCATCTCCCATCATCAGCCTGCAATACCACAGTTAATTTAGAACTACCCAATAGCCATTGGTCTGAACAGGTTAACTACCAGGTCTCCCTGGAAGCCAATGGTTATTTCCTACAGCTGATCTGTTTTACTTCTTATCCAACCATCCAGGCCCAAGGCTTCAACAGCTCTTTTCCTTCCCTTTCGCTTTTCCCTTGGATAACAGCCCATCCTAGCGTTCCCACCCACTTTCACTGCAATAGAATCTCAACCACTCAACTGTCACCTCTTATTGGTAGCGCCATGGTGACTCCCCTCTTGATTTGGAGCATAGACCTGGGAAAGGAACTTCATATCCTTTAGTCCACCTCTTCTCCCTACCTTTCAGCTTGTCTCCATGATCAGGGATTCTTCTTCCTCTGTGGGGAAAACACATACATCTGCCTCCCGACCAACTGGACAGGAACTGGTACTCTCATCTATCTCTCACCCAATGTAGATGTAGCCCCCAATAATCAGTCTTTACCTATCCCAGTAACCCATCATAGCCGACACAAAAGAGCAGTCCAGATAATCCCTCTCCTCAAAATCCTCGCAATCACAGCAGGTGTCGGGACTGGCAGAGGGGCCCTAACCACTGCTCTATCATATTTTGAAATCCTGTCTCAGGACCTACAAGAAAGCCTAGATGACATTGCCAAAAATTTAGTTCAAATTCAGGATGACAGATTCACTAGCAGCTGTCACCTCCAAAATCTGGAGAGAACTGGACCTCCTAACTGTGGAGAAAGGGTAGGTCTATGACTCTTTCTAGAGGAAGGATGTTGTTTTTATGTCAATCAGTCTGGCCTGGTCAGGGATGCCATCCAAAAATTAACAGAAAGGGCCGCAAAGATTAGAGAGCATCAATCAAATTCATGGGACTACTGGCTAAAGAATATTAACTGGTATACCTGGCTACCTCCCTTCATAGGACCATTAGCACTCCTATTCCTCATCCTCGTTTTTGGCTCAGCTATTCTGTGCCATTTTTCATCTTTCCTTCAGCACCACTCTCGCGCCTTCACTAACCAGTCTCTCGGGGAAATCATACTGCTGCAACCCCTCGCTCCAACCAGGAGGAATCTATACAACATTCCAGTCGACTACAATCAAAGTCTACCCCCTATGATCTCAATGTCCCTCCTCAGCAGGAAGTAACTACAGAAGATATGACCTTCGTCCCTATTCCATAAAACA